CGAGACGACACCGTACACGATCTGAAGCTTCAAATAAAGCGAGATAAAAAGACATTCATTTTCATCGTATTTCGCCTTGAACCATGAGTGCGTTTTAGAGTCTTTTTTTCCGCTAGAGAACGGTGATCATTTTCTCACACTATCTTCATCATCGTTTACGCGCCGTTCTCTTAGACGACGGTACTTAAAGCATTAGTAGTAAGATGACTAACAAAATATGCATCGATCACAGCACTGAGACTAGGAGAAATATCAATATATCAATCCCATAGAGCCTTCTAATTGGACTTGACATTTGTTACAAAGTCACCCGGAACAATTATCATCTATCCAAATATAAAGTTGGTGTTTCATATTCTGAAATACAAATAAAAACGAGTAAATAATATGATAGATTAAAAAAGTGGACTGCACAGAGTGAACAGTCAAACAAAACAACTAACAGAAACGATAGGAAATCGAAGTCATAATGGTTGATGCACTTTGGTTTTACTTGATGCGCTGATCATTCGGGTCATTATTTTTGTGGATAATTATGTATTACTCATATTTCTTTCATGTTCAAGGGGCAATTATCTACCTGCTATACTGTTATAACAGCACGTTCCCATGTCCAAGAAAACGGTGCGTAAACAGCCTGAAACGGTTATAAAACGGTATAAAACGTGGAAACGCGGCGCCGTTTTCAATCAGCTCGGATAACGACGAACAAAGTGTTAAAAACAATGACCGTTTTCTAGAGAAAAAAAACGGCCCATAAAACGCGCTGACGGATTACGGCGAAATGAGGTGAAAATGAATGTTTTATTATACTGTTTTATAGTCGTTTCAAGTTTGTTAAGATGCCCGTTTCGACGGTCGGAATGATTATCCTGGGATTTTTAAAGAAATATATTAACATTTGATTAGACAATCAAATTTCCATGTTCTCAGTCTATGTGAATTATTTTCAGGTAACCGAAGTTTTTGCAAAACCTTTCAAGCGTACCGCATTTATTTCGAAAATGACTCGATGCACTAGAAAAAAATTAGTATGATTATCAAACCCTTTTTAAAATGAATACGGAACCCTCAGAAAGGTTTCGTAAATACTTCGATTACCTGAAAACAATCGTCATATACTTAGAATACTATTTCAAGCGTTTCTTGTTCTATCTACGAAACCTAAAAGAGTTCAGAGAATTGAAATGAAATCGAAACCCTGTTAGGTTCTGTACTATGTACGAAACATTTTTTTAGTCCAACAAACCCTTTTGGGTTCGGTGTGGTACCATTTTTTTTCAATGAATGTATATAATAACTCAAGTTTTTTTTGCAGTTTCCAATAAATTTCTTTTATAAATCTACCAATTATTTTCCTCTAATAGTTGTTCTATAATAGTCGTTATGAATGATTTTTGTGTTAGAAGATTTATATTAACGCACGACCGGAGTGTGACTTCTCAAAAAAAAGAATTCAGATTTACACTGTCCTTTAATATGCCAGACTTGTCCAAAGTTGGATAACTTAACCAATTATTGACCAAAGTCTTGTGCATCATAGACCGAAACCGAGTCGAGTCGAGTGTTTTTTGACTCGCTTTGGTCTGTGTTATGAATATCTCAACAAGCACAGTAAAACTTTAAAACAGTTATTCTACACGTAAACATTTGTTAGGTAGTTTCTTACATTACCAACAGAAAAAAAAAGAATTTACTCTAGAGTTGAAAGTAAATTCTTGATCAAATGGTTCACTTGGTATCATATCATACTTCTGAAATTCATTTTAATACCTCAAAGTACTATACTGTCCTTTCTTCTGATGAAACTGAAATAGACAGCATACTAAATGTCAATCGCATAATGGTTGTGCATACATAAAAGGATGATTTTTCTATTACGGTAATACATTTTCTTGTTTTCAGTAGTTCATTCGACTCGCAGTGTATTCAATCACTTAGTTTTTATAATGAGCTATTCGTGAATGAAAACATTAAGAAGTGCCACACTTAGAAATCATCGATGGGAATTTGAAAACTTAACTAAAAAAATTGTCTAATCGAAGTCTTCTAAATAATTCTGAAAAATTCATAAAAACATGCTTCGCTTCTTTGAATTATCGTTCTAACTTTTTAGTACATGTGCGAACATCAAATTGAAAGAAGAAATCTTCGGTTATTTCTGTATATCTATTATCGATGAAAAGTGGTAATAAAAAAACGATTTTCATTTCATATAAACTTTTCCATTGAAATGCTAAGTTATCAAACAATGTACGATCAGTATTTATAATAATTAGTCATTATATTGCTGCAAAAATAGCTTTTGATTATTATATTTGTGAACGGGTGAAAAAACAGAATTCTTTTCGAAAGTAGCAAGAAAAACTTAAGATTTTTTAAGTTTAATTTTAATTCGCTTTTCGTCGATTTTTATATGTTTGCTTAATCATAAACTTATTTTTTTTTATGTTTATGAAAAATAGAGATGATTATATTTGAAGAAGTACATGTTTTATGCATTAGAAATCGATCCCTTTGCTTTTTTCTTTCTGTTTTCAATGGTTGCTTTGCAAATTCGAAGAAAAATAACGCAGCGTATTCGATTTAGCGGAATTTCGATTTCATTTGTTTGAACAACGCAACCGTTCTATGATTTACCCCAATCGATCTGAGAATACGTAAAATATATTACGACAATATTTATATTTGAGAATCACAAACTTTTGAGAGAGCTGAAATCCTAGGTCTGCATTACTGGTGCCTTTCTTTTTCGTTTTCTCATTATATTATTTCTATGGTTGCATTTTTTAAGCAAACTATTTAGTTTGAAGCGAATAAATAAAAAACAAAAGTAAATTAATGTTTTACATGAGTATGCTGATGTGAGAGAAAGATACAGTATATAATATATAAATAGTGAATATGTTAAGAGTGTGTCATTTAGTACTTAAATAGAGTGTTTAAATAAATATTGGTTGCTGATAACTATGAGTTTAACCAGCGTAAATGATATACATAATTCTAGTGTAACTGTTATAAATCTAAAGTAAAACTTAACTTCCTAGTCAATACTATAGAGAATCTATGAAACTTGTACTGTAAAGCAATTGTTAATGCCTAGCGAATTTTTTCTAAGAGTAACGAAGATTTTTTGCGTATTTATCAAAAAAAAGATAGAGTTAGAGAAGCGTTCATTTTATGGCTTGTAAAATATACTGATGAGTTATGCAAATTACTTGTTTCACATTGTCTTTTTTGATATGTTTAGATAGACAATAATCTAAAGAATAAATTGTATATACGATGTTTCAAAACAATATGACATGAAAATATATTATACAATCAATTATTAGGACATTTAAGGTAGCTTCCTTCCGCCAATTAGATCGAATGCTTAATATTCCGAGATATTTATGTTATTTTTCAGAAAGAAAAAACAGGGAGCGTTATTACGAATCATAAGAAAATTTTAATGCTTGATTGCCGGTATTTCGCAAAAAACAATCTTTCTACCCACAGTTATTTCCCTATTCTTTAGTTATACGTCGACTCTTATCAATTATACAAATCTTAAATAAATACAATGAATTTCTCTTCCTTTTTTTGAATCAATGAGAACAAGGAAGCCAGAAATTAAAAATTCACATTGTGAGAACAATTCTGATCAGTTATTCCCAATGAATATATAACCCTTAACAAGACACTCGTGAAACTATCTGTTTTTCAGTTTTTTCAAAATAGTAATCAGATATATTTAAAATTGATGACTTATACACACTAAGTAAAAATGTGTCGGATGTGTCGTAAACTACGACACAAAGCACGACACATTCGAGTACGACATGAGGTCCTCGTTGCGACACATTCTGTCCAGCAAGACCACGACGCATTTTTCACGACACATCCGACACATTTTCATTGGTTGTTTTTGAAACGCATATTTCGATATTTTTTAATTAAATTACATATATCTCTTTATTTTTTGAAAAGTCAATCTGATCAAATCCTAAGATCTGGCTGATTTGGAATCGGTTCGATTCCTATCAGACTATCCAGTGTAGTCCTTCCCGGATCATGGATCGGGATGGCAATTCCTTGATTATAAAGTAATCAAGAATTAAATCCAAAGAAAATTTTATTTCGAGAACTTATCTTCCATGTGTTCAACGATGTTGCTTATATGTCGCTGTATGTTCATAACAAAACGGTGAACGACTAGTCGACTGACAGAACGCGAAAAATATACGACACATTTTTTTCATTCAAAGTGCGACACAAAAATTTACGACACATTTTTGTAATGGAGAGCACAACACAAAAATTCACGACACATACAGCCGACGCATTTTTATTTAGTGTGTATAACAATTCGAAGGTACCATTTTTTATTCGAATGTATTTAGCGCCTCTCTAACTTTAACCTTCTTTGATTGATAAGAGAGATCATGCAGTCAGAAGTAAGAAATTATCTATTAATTATTTCTTTCTTCGGACAAATGTTTAACGCATAAGTTGTTGTGTTATGTTGGAGTCTCAGATTATTCGAGTAAATAACTCGCAATCAGTAATTTTCGTTGCAGACTCCTTCCGATTTGAATTATAGTTTATTTTTGTTTCAAAAAACAAATTTAGGCGAAAGCAGTTTTTCATGCGTAGGTTTATTATATATAGTTGCTTTTCTTTTGAATAACCCTTCACCTTTGATCGATTCGTAGGCTATGATTTTTTTTATATGAAGCCAAAAAAGATTTACCAAAGTGGCAGAGTCAATAGTTTATATCATCAAGACTTTGTATTTTGTAAGTCTAAAGGGTTTTGTATGATTCATTCATTGACGTAGGATATACATAAAAACAAAGTATTAAAATTGACGAACGATATTAATAGTGTGTGAATATATAGCTGCAGTCATAATAAAAAAACGATGCCAATCGAATTATTTCAAAATTTTTGACAACTAGTAAAGACAAGAAGGCAATTGATTCACTCAAATAATGACAATTTTACCAAATACCTATATGTTACAAGTGTTGATCATTACTCTACTAAGTATTGTCCGACAAAGTTCTCAAACTGTTTACTCATGCAATAAAAACGTATCATGTGGTTGTTCAGCGAGTTCAGTATCAATAAGTCGTATTGTCGGTGGAGAAGATGCTAGTTCCGGTGCATGGAATTGGGCTGTCTCAATCCGTATTGGTAGTAGTGGCCTTTGTGGCGGATCTATTATATCTAGTTCATGGGTGATTACTGCAGCTCATTGTGTAGCAGACTTCACTCCGTCTGACTTTATTGTTTACGCAGGATCAAATGCACGTTGGTCTGGCAGTCAAAGTCGAACTGTATCAAATATTATTGCACATGAGAACTTTAACCCATTAACATACGAGTATGATATTGCTTTGTTGCAACTTAGTTCTCCATTGAACATGAGTGATCCTGCCTTGAGTAAAATCTGTCTACCAAATGTTACCCAAGCAACATTGTCGGCTGGTGAATGGCCACCCAGCGGAACAAGTGTAAGCGCCTTCTGGTCTTTAAAATTCAATGTTACATAACAAGTTTTAGGTTGTAACTATTGGATGGGGTCGATTGTCTGAAAGTGGTTCATTGCCATCAGCACTTCAACAAGTTACCTTGCAAACGGTAGGTTATCAAACATCGACTTGCCGCCCAGTTATGGTTAATTGGCAAGTTCAGTTTTGCGCTAGTGTGATAAATGGCACAAAAGGTAACATTGCTAGATTTATCTCGCTCTGCCTATATCTATCTTTCTTGTTAATATCTCAGATACTTGCCAAGGAGATTCAGGGGGTCCAATGATGATGTTTAGCTCAAGTAATCAATGGATATTGGTTGGTCTGACAAGTAGTGGCATTGGATGTGCACGACCTCAATATGCTGGTTTATATACCCGAGTTGCAACTTTTCAAGATTGGATAAATTTGAATACCAATTCTACCAATTCAAATGGAACATCATTGGGCTCTAATAATTCTAATGATACCAACACGACAACAATGCCAACGAGGACAACAATGCCAACGACGATAACAATACCAACGACGACCTTTGGACCTATCACTTTGCATGCGAACACAGTTGCAGCTTCGATTCGGAATGTTTTGGTAGTTGTGCTCTTCAGTTTACTTCCTCTATCTTTTTATTGAACTGATATTTACACTTTTCTTTAATTAACCTCAGTTTTTCTCAAATTCTAACTAAAATTGACTGCGTATAAAATTTAATCAACTTTTATTTTTGGTTTTCTTCTTTATATTTTATGATTTTCCATTAATAAGAAGCACAACTTAATAAAAAAAATAGCTTAATGGAGATGAGACATATTTATTATTTGAGAAGATAATGAAAAATTCATTCGCTATGAACAAGTTATTATTAAAAATTTCAGATATGTTAAGTAATGAAAATGTTGTTCAGTTACTCTGCTTGTAATTATCCGATTAGTATGCATTAGTCAGATAATTGTGGATCTCGGTTTGATAAAGTAGCTACTGTAGCTGTCTGTTGTTGGCTTAAAGACAGCACAGCTGCTGTTTTTGGTGGTAATTGAATAGTTTCTAGTATTAGAGATCTTTCATTCATTTATGCAGTTCATTATAAAATGAGTTCCTTCAATGACAATTCATGGTTTGGACTCAATTGGAGTGCTTTAGAATATTCGTGTAGCTTGATCTAAAAACATGCTTATTGTTGAAAAGCCACACTTTTCTGTAATTTGAAATACTTAAAAATTTGCTGTACCAATGCAGATTTAGTTTTTAAACAGTTTATAATTATGCCAGTTAATTCGAGAGTAAATTAGACAATTTGTTCTCTATTACAAGCGATGCGTCAATAATTCAATATGTGTGACCGAAATCGACTTTCACTGATAAGAATTTAAATCAAATTCGCTTGGTTACTTATTTTCCTACGATATTATTTCAACGAAGCACTTTTTTCACGGTGCATGTGACTTGCGATTTACTGGAGTCTTTGAAATGACGAGAATGCTTCAGATTAATCAGATGTCCAGTAATGCTGCTCACCAAGAGAGCATAGAAGTATGCTTCAGCAATAACTCAACAAGATTCATACCAAACGATTAAAATCGATTGTTGACGCTCCATTTTGAACTTCCCAAGGCACTCGATCCTGCCGGAACTCCTCGGAACCGGCACCGGATCACTCCAGAAGCCGGTATGCTTATCACTAAAATCCGGCAGGGATGTCGCCGGAACCTCTGCTCCCGGGGTCCGGGCCGGAATTCAAAGGAAAATGGTCCGGTCGTTTCCTGCCGAATAATACAGTCGAACATTGTCGAAGCCAGTTGACCTCGACTGCCGGATGATGCCAGGTTCCTAAGGGCTTCATAACAGCTTTGACCGGATTCCATCAGATTCCGATGACCAGTTCTTCAATCACAAGATGAATCAACTGTAGTATTCAAGAAAACGCACACCAACCGAAACGACTACGCATCGTCAATAATCACACATAATCTATACCGTCACCACCTCAACGGATCCAAAACAAGCATTTCCCCCAACAGCAACCACCCTGAGAAAAATTGAAACCCGGAACCAACAACATCTGACACACCAATACGCACGCTTATAATGATCCAGAACCAACCTACTATACATCGTTGTCATTAAACAAATTATAAATACGTTCACTGGGTCATCTTGTAGCATTTTAATTCTTGGAAATATCGCTCCACACATCATTTTGTACCCATCGAAATCATTAATAATTCATAGAAAATGCATCTGGATATCATTCTGGACCATCACCACTTACTTTTTCATCCATTAATTACACATTCTAAACCTATAGAATGAGTCACTGTCTTCACCAAAAATTAAAAGAAAATTGCTCCACACATCATTTTGCACCAATCAAAATATTGCATCAGTCGTATAGAATCGTTCAAATAACCATTCTCGATGGTTCCAACGTACCTTTTCTTCGTGAAACAGGATTCTAAGCATCTTTCATTACGGATCCAACCACGCTTTCCTTTGACGAAAATCACTCCAAAGCTCAACCTCGACTTACCGAAAAATTCACTAAGACATGGACAATCCTTCTGATAGCCATTGCAGATCGTTCCAACATACATTTTCTTCATGAAACATGATTCTGAGTGACATCCAAAAACGATTTAGTGGCATATGAATTAATTAATATTGTATGTAAGGAACATTCCAGCGTCCTCAAAGGCGTTTGTCGGTGATTTGAAATGATGCTTTCGGTCTTGTCAGACCGAGTAAACATCTGTGTAAGACGTTTGAAATTTTGCCAAGTTGCATGGACGAAGAACATAGTATGCATATATAGCAAGTTTATCTCATCCTGGGTAATCATAAATGGCGTTGGGTTTCGTGTTAGACCAGGAGTCGATCGTGGAATCAGGTTATATTAGCAGGGGTTATGATAAATGACTTGAGTGAGATTCATTCGGGCAGATAACTTCGCTCAGCATCAATAAATACATAATCATGTTGCTCATGTGGATTGACTTTTCATAAATAATCTATTGGATGATCCATAATTTTTAATTCATGTCTTTCATCGCTTGTATGAGCTATTAACTAACGGTCGGAATCGATTACAAGATCTTCCTTTAGTATCTGGTAATTAGTTGCAGATGTTTTTGGTCGGATCTGTGTTGTAGTAAGTGGCTTAGTCCGGTGAGTAGGACCGTTCCGTTCTGATATGATTCGATTGGTTCCGGTGATACTGATTAAGCCGGATCTACCATGAAATCGAATGTTATGCGGCACGGCGGGTTCCGGTGAAGTTTTGTTCTCGGATATTGTCGGATCACGTTGTATACAGCCTAATCGTATCATCTGGCCTGATATTTTCCGGCAATGTAAATCTGCCCGGTTCTTGGAGAATCCGGTCACCATGTGACATCGGAAATATAACCCGTCCGACAAGTACCGACTGATCGATAATGCCCTGGGATTACTATTGAAATGCAATCAACTACACACAGAAAGTAATAATACTTTTAATAACGACGATATACGAAGATGACAGCATTAAAAGTTACTCTCTAGTTTGTCAATGTTACAATCTTCTTCTTTATTTCGCCTTCTTCTTATTATTATCTTTTCACAAGAAATAATTCCCCCTTTCTTTTAACATTAACACTCACTTAAATAGAATAGATACGAGAAGAAGAATGGAATGATTGTAAACGTGGTAGAATGAAACCGAGAGAAGAAGAGAGAACATACTTATGGCAGGACAGATATGTCCTGACATAACAATCAATAAAGGGTTTGATCATTCTTATTCTATATCTTACTTTTATTTCCTATCGTGTGTAAAACTATAGATGCCAATTAGAGGACTTTCGAAAATTGATTCATGTAATAAAAATATATTGTTCTTGTATGATGAGCGACAATGAGGATAGAATTTCTAAAAAATTCTCGTTGGTAAGGATTTAATATTTTCATCTTGTTTGTTCAGAAAATATAAAGATCTGCTAGAAGAATATATGCCGAAAGAATTATCTTATTTTTATCTATCGTAGAAACTTTTATCTCAATAGAGTTGTTGTAATGCATTCTGATAAATATACAAATTTTATTCACTGCAAAGCGTAGAAAATAAAATAATGAGTGAAAAGAAACACATCCTATTCTACGTTGCATAGTTTGCTATTTGGTTTTCTTCGTTTCTTACTTAACAAGCTGTTGCTGCGCTGATCCAAATGTTTTGTTAGAAAATCAATATTTGAAAAGAAAAATAAGTCTTTTTTCTGGTACCCAGGTGAACTAATCCGACATCGGATTCCATCGGATCTCTTAGGATCCAACATTCCGACAAAAACCTGACGGATTCCTGGTTGAGGAATCGCTGTCGGATCCGACGGACAAAATCAATT